CTCCTCTCTCTTTCTCTCTCTCCTCTTTCTCTCTCCTTTTGCCCATAGTCACCCTCTCTCTTGCTTTCTCTTTCTCTCTCCTCCTTTTTACCCCCACTCCCTCCTCTCTCTTTCTCTTTCTCTCTTTCTCTTCTTCTCTCTTTCTCTTGACTTTTTCTTTTCTCTTCTTGAGTTCAGAGTCAGAATGGATCAGACGAGTGAGGATCCCGTGTTTTTCTCAGTCAGACTTTTCTGTTTACAGGAGGTAAGAGCCACAAACTCAACACTCTAATTATCTGTCTTTTACTTTTACTTAAGTATCCTGGAAAGAAAAGTACTTCTCGGAGTACTTTTACTTGAGTAATATTATTTTGTAGTAATGTAATCGCAATGTAAATACTGAAAAAGCAAAAAAAAAAAAAAACTTCAGACTTTTAACCTTTTTTAAAACTTTTCTCGTTGAGGATCTGTCAAATACTTTTCTCCCTGGAGATGTTATCGCTTTGGAATGTTCCGCAGTATGACTTTAAATCTTTCTATCAAACCAGACCGAGTTACGGGTCAGATCTGCGGAGAGGCGACGCCGCTCACTGTCAGAATGTTGGGGTTTTTAGGTGTTTTTGAGCGATAAAACCACCTGTAATTGAATAAACGTAAAGTAGAGCTGTTTAAAGTCACACTGCGGAACATTCCAGACAGGTGACGGACTCTGCACCAGAAAAGTTACACAATACACCTTTAAAAGTGCAGCTGATATTTCCGTTCGAGTATATTTTAAGCTGCTGGACGTTTAATTTGACGTTGCCGTGATTTTAGTTTTATTTTGCTTAGATTTGTCGATAGGAAATAGTTGCGCGGAGCATTTAAAGATGTTATCGTGTACTTTTTTTTTTTTTCAAGGATGTTATCTTGTATTTTTTAGGAGATGCCAGACCAAACTGTAGAGAATGCAGATCTACAGTTCAAAATAAACAAAGTGCGAGGCCAAGACCTGTCGCTGTGTTTGAACTCGACACCAGACGACGGACTCGTGTGTGTGGAACGAGGTGAGGCCCGAGTCAGAATATTAATCATGAACATCAGAACTGCTCTTGTGAAATAATTTGTTTAAAAATAGAAAAACTAACACACATGAACATTCACACAGACAACGGCTCCCTCTTTTCTGCTTCACTCGAGGAAAAACTAAAACTTAAACACAACAATTTTGACTTTTAGCGTTTTGAAAGTGCACTGTGTAACTTTTTCTGGGTCTACCATGTTGTTTTTTTTCCTGAAATTATCTACAGTATGGCATTTAATTTAACTATCTCCATGGAGACAAGCAGGCCACATCACCAGGCCAAGTTACAGGTCAGATCTGTGGAGAAGTGGACCTGCTCACAATAATAATAATGATGTTTTTTAGAAAGTTTTGAGAAATAAATGGTAAATGGTAAATGGTCACATTTTTCTATAGCACTTTTCCACCTTCAAGGCACTCAAAGCGCTTTACAACAAGGAACCACTCACCCATTCACACACACATTCACACACCAGTGTACACAGACACTGTGGGCAAGGTGGGTTAAGTGTCTTGCCCAAGGACACAATGACAGCATTAATCTGTGGGAGCTGGAATCACACCAGCCAACCTGTGGGTCAGTGGATCTGACCACTCAACCTGTGATGTTTATGTCGAGAGCTGGATTCAAACCACCAACCTTTAGATCAGTGGGCGAATGCTCTACCAACTGAGCTACTGCTCATAAAAACAGCTGTAATTGAATAAATTCAAGCTATATTTGTTTAATGCCGTACTGTGGAACATCTCAGACAAAACAATAACATCACCGTGGAGACAAGCAGATGCTGGATCCACCGATGTCGTGAAGATGTTACCCGCTTTTCTTCGTGGAAAACTTAAACTTTAATGCCATATTACGCCCTGTAAAGCATTTCTACAAAGATAAACATCATGCCTGTAACTTTAAAAGGGGGGTATTTCCGTGGCGATGTGGTGGAGATGTTACCTGCTTTTCTTTCTGGAGAACTTAAACTTTAATGCCACACTGTGCAACATCCCATGGCTCATCTCCATGGAGACAAAGAGGTGATGGACACTCATAATTGTTCATATTTTTCAGAAAATAAAATTCCACTTTTCCGCTTTCCTGTTTCCGTGGAGATGGAGAGTTGTCCGGGTCGGAGGTCAATCTTTTATCGTCACGTTTGAGAAACACAGCTACATTCTGCAGTTTAAAACTATGACAGGTTTGTACTGTTATTATTATTATTATTATTATTTTAAAGGTGGACTGTGTACATTTTCTAGTGGAGAGTCTGCCATGTGCTTGTCTCCATGGAGATGTTGCTGCTTTGCCTGGAATGCCTTACTGTGGAACATTCCCAGGCACAACAGTAACATCATTAGACGAGGCGACTCTCCCTCCATCAGAAAAGTTTTAGTCTTGTTGTTTTATTTGTTGCAGATTTGAAAACATTTCAGCAGCATCTGAGGAAACAAGTGGATAAAACTATTAAAGGAGACAGGAAAGGAGACAAGGAGATATTACCAAGGAGACACTTGAGAGCTGAGACGTCTCCTTCAAACTGTTACCAGGTAAAAGCAATAAAAGACAGTTTTATTTAGATTTTTTTTTTCAATATTTAGAAACAATTCCCCCAAATTATCTTGTGTGAAATTACAGTAAATAGAGTTTTTTGTTTATAAATTGCACAACCATGTGAAAAAAAAAGAATTATAATGGAAAATAATGTCTTGATTATAGATTTTCAGTATTTCTAGACTTTGATTTTGTCCTGGTTTAGTTCAGTCCCAGTTTAGACCCAAAGTTGGTGAGTCCTGTTCAAGTCCTGGTTTAATTCCAAGTTTAGTCCCAGTTTAGAGCCACTTTTGACAATTCCAGGTCAAGTCCTGGTTTAATTCCTGGTCCCAGTTTTTAACCCATTCTGTTAAATCTTGTTCTAGTCCTGGTTTAGTTCTAATCCTGGTAAATTCTAGTCCTGGTAGTTGTTCTTATCCTGTTTTTACACCTGGTTTAGTCCTAATTTAGACTTTATTTTGATGAGTCCTGTTCTAGTCCTGGTTTAGTTCTTAGTCCCAATTTTGAACCCATTTTGTTAAGTCTTGTTCTAGTCCTGGTTTAGTCCCAGTTTAAACTTTATTTTGATGATTCCTGTTCAAATCCCGTTTTAGTTCCTGGTCCTAATTTTGTTAAATCTTGCTCTAGTCCTGGTTTAGTTCCAGTTTAGTCCCTGTTTAGAGCCACTTTTGACAAGTCCTGCTCTAGTACTGGTTTCAGTCCTGGTTTAGTCCCAGTTTAGAACCAGTTTTCTCAATAAAAAAAAAAAGTGACATATTTTGGTCTAATAATGAATAATTTTAGGTGGTGTTTTTTATTGTCGTGTCTTAAGGTGGTCTGAGTGATTTAAGGTGGTATGTTTGTCCCTTCAGTTCCACAGTTGTCTCTCGCAGCAGCAGAGTCTCCTCCAGGACCACAGCCGGACCGCCACGTACCACAAAGCCATTCTGCTCAACGACGTGGACTTCAGGGACAAGGTGGTGTACAGTCAGTGGGTCATTTGTTTTTCAAAATAAAACTAAAAATTAAAAAATTAAAAAACACTTAACTTAAATTGTGATGCTGGACTTTTGGAACGCATACGGACTAAACCAGGACTAAACCAGGTCTAAACCAGGACTAAACTGTTCTCAGTCCCGGTCTCAGTCCCGGTCTGGTCCCGGTCTGGTCCTGATCTCAGTACTTGTCTCAGTCCCGGTCTGGTTCCTTCTTATTTTTTGTTTTATTTTGAAAATGAATGAACGAATGATACAGGGATTGCGTACCTACTGCTCTCCACAGGCGTTAGAATGGGGAGAAATTGGGACTGTTGCCATAGCGATTAACAATTTAAAACAAAATTGTCCTTAAAATGTTGCTTATAACAGATAGAATGAAGTAACTGACCTCAACCCGGTATCATTATATAGTTTTAACAATGTTTTAATTAAGATGATGTATTACGAAGTATGATGTTCTTGTCTCAGTAGAAATGTCATTGCTTTGCCTGGAATGTTCCACAGTATGGCATTAAACCTATCCGTGGAAACAAGCAGGAGACCACCAGGTTAAATAGTAGAGAAGGTTTCAAATGAAGTCAAACTGACAAATTTAGACCTGGTTTAGCCCTGATTTAGTCCTGATTTAGTCCTGATTTTAGTCCTGGTTTAGTGCTGGTTTAGTCTGAGTTTAGTCCTGGTTTAGTGCTGGTTTAGTCCTGCTTTAGTTCTGGTTTAGTCTGAGTTTAGTGCTGGTTTAGTTCTGATTTAGTCCTGGTTTAGTCCTGGTTTAGTCTCAGTTTAGTGCTGGTTTAGTTCTGATTTAGTCCTGGTTTAGGCCTGGTTTAATCCTCTTTTAGTGCTGGTTTAGTCATGGTTTAATCCTGGTTTAGTCCTGGTTTAGTCCTGGTTTAGCCCTGATTTAGTCCTGATTTAGTCCTGATTTTAGTCCTGGTTTAGTGCTGGTTTAGTTCTGGTTTAGTCTGAGTTTAGTCCTGGTTTAGTGCTGGTTTAGTCCTGATTTTAGTCCTGATTTTAGTCCTGGTTTAGTGCTGGTTTAGTTCTGGTTTAGTCTGAGTTTAGTCCTGGTTTAGTGCTGGTTTAGTCCTGATTTTAGTCTGAGTTTAGTCCTGGTTTATGCTGGTTTAGTCTGTTTTAGTCTGATTTTAGTCCTGGTTTAGTGTGGTTTAGTTCTGGTTTAGTCTGAGTTTAGTCTGGTTTAGTGCTGGTTTAGTCCTGATTTTAGTCCTGATTTAGTGCTGGTTTTAGTCTGAGTTGGTTTAGTCTGGTGTCTGGTTTAGTGCTGGTTTAGTCCTGTCTGTTTAGTGCTTTGAGTCTGTTTAGTCTGAGTTTAGTCCTGGTTTAGTTTCTGGTTTAGTCCTGATTTTAGTCCTGATTTTAGTCCTGGTTTTAGTGGTTTAGTTCTGGTTTAGTCCTGATTTAGTCCTGATTTTAGTCCTGGTTTAGTCCTGGTTTAGTGGTTTAGTCTGGTTTAGTTTTAGTCTGAGTTTAGTCCTGGTTTAGTCCTGGTTTAGTGCTGGTTTAGTCCTGATTTTAGTCCTTTTAGTCTGGTTTAGTCCTGGTTTAGTTTAGTCTGAGTTTAGTCCTGGTTTAGTAGTCCTGATTTAGTCCTGAGTTAGTCCTGGTTTAGTCTGAGTTTAGTCCTGGTTTTAGTCCTGATTTAGTCCTGGTTTAGTGCTGGTTTAGTCTGGTTTAGTCCTGATTTAGTCCTGATTTTAGTCCTGGTTTAGTGCTGGTTAGTTGATTTAGTCCTGATTTTAGTCCTGGTTTAGTAAATCCGTGGAAACAAGCAGGAGACCACCAGGTTAAACAGTAGAGAAGGTTTCAAATGAAGTCAAACTGACAAATTTCGACTTCTTTTTTCTGCCATGACTCCAAGACAGATACGTTTAATGCCATGCCATGGAACATTCTGGCAAATCGTTAACATCTCCGTGGCGACGAGAAGTGGTGGAACCCCTAAATCAGAACAAAGAACGCACTTTTAAAACAAGACAAACATCACTTCCATAGATTTTTTTTATACAGACTTTGCACAAAATTATACAACTCATGATAAAATGGTAAAATAAATCGTTTTATTTATATTTTATTTGTATTATATTGTTATTTATCTTTAGGTGGTGTTGGATGTTGGAGGTTCGGGGATGTTGTGTTTTTTTGCAGTTCAGGCCGGAGCTGCTAAAGTCTACAGTCTGCAGTCTGGACCTATGGCCAAACACACTCAGGTCAGATTTATTCAAGATATTAAATTAGATTAGATTCATATCAGGCTCTTTTCCTCAAGACTTGCAGCTAAAATTTTTGATAAAATCTTCAATACATAAAGAAATTGATTGATAATTTGCAGGACGGGTTAAATTCTTGGTGTTTTTGGGAATTAATGTAATGAGTGTGGAGGTCTGACTAAGTGAAATAAGAATGTACTTCATATTAGGGACTTTCCTAAAGTTTTTGACTCAGACTAAACCAGTTCTAACACAAGTCCAAACGGGTACTAAGAGTGTTCCCAGTGTAGACTTGGTTTGATCCTGTTTCTAGTGCTGGTTTAGACATGGTTTAGTCCTGGTTTAGTAGTCTGGTTTAGTCTGGGTTTTGTCCTGTTTCAGTCTGAGTTTAGTCTGTTTAGTTTAGCCTAAGTTTAGTCCTGGTTTAGTCCTGGTTTTGTCTGGGTTTAGTCCTGGTTTAGTCCTGGTTTAGTCTGGTTTAGTCTGGGTTTAGTCCTGTTTAGTCTGAGTTTAGCCCTGGTTTAGTCCTGGTTTAGTCTGACTTTAGTCTGGGTTTAGTTCTGTTTTAGTCTGAGTTTAGTCCTGGTTTTGTCCTGGTTTAGTCCAAGTTTAGCCCTGGTTTAGTTCTGGTTTAGCCCTGGTTTAGTCTGAGTTTAGTCTGGGTTTAGTCCTGTTTCAGTCTGAGTTTAGTCCTGGTTTAGTCCTGGTTTAGTCTGAGTTTAGTCCTGGTTTAGTCCTGGTTTAGTCTAAATTTAATCCTGGTTTAGTCCTGGTTTAGTCTGAGTTTAGTCCTGGTTTAGTCCAAGTTTAGCCCTGGTTTTGTCCTGGTTTAGTTTGCCAAGTTTAGCCCTGGTTTAGTCCTGGTTTAGTCTGAAGTTTAGTCTGAGTTTAGTCTGGGTTTAGTCCTGGTTTTTGTCTGGTTTAGTCCTGGTCTGTTCTTAGTTCTGTTTTAGTCTGAGTTTAGTCCTGGTTTTGTTCTGGTTTAGCCCTGGTTTAGTCTGAGTTTAGTCCTAGTTTAGCCCTGGTTTTGTTTGGGTTTAGTCCTGGTTTAGTCTGAGTTTAGTCCTGGTTTAATCCTGGTTTACTGCTGGTTTAGTTTGGGTTTAGTTTTGATTTAGTCCTGGTTTAATCCTGTTTTTTTATGAGTTTATTCTGTATTTAGTCCGGGTTTAGTGCTGGTTTAGTCCTGGTTTAGTCTGACTGTAGTCCTGGTTAGTCAAGTTTAGCCTGGTTTTGTCCTGGTTTAGTCCAAGTTTAGCCCTGGTTTAGTCCTGGTTTTGAGTTTAGTGCCTGGTTTAGCCCTGGTTTTGTCCTGGTTTAGTCTGAAGTTTCATCTGAGTTTAGTCTGGGTTTAGTCCTGGTTTTGTCTGGGTTTAGCCCTGGTTTAGTCCTGGTTTAGTCTGAAGTTTAGTCTGAGTTTAGTCTGGGTTTAGTCCTGGTTTAGTCCTGGTTTAGTCCTGGTTTAGTCTGACTTTAGTCTGGGTTTAGTTCTGTTTTAGTCTGAGTTTAGTCCTGGTTTTGTTCTGGTTTAGCCCTGGTTTAGTCTGAGTTTAGTCCTAGTTTAGCCCTGGTTTTGTTTGGGTTTAGTCCTGGTTTAGTCTGAAGTTTAGTCTGGGTTTAGTCCTGGTTTAATCCTGGTTTACTGCTGGTTTAGTTTGGGTTTAGTTTTGATTTAGTCCTGGTTTAATCCTGTTTTTTATTAGTTTATTCTGCATTTAGTCCGGGTTTAGTCCTGGTTTAGTCCTGGTTTAGTGCTGATTTAGTCCTAGTTTAGTCTTGATTTAGTCCTGTTTTAGTCTGGGTTTAGTCCTGACCTCTCTATAGAAACAAGCAGGTGACGAAAACCTCCACCACAAAAGTTCCACAATGCCCCTTTAAACACCAAACATATTCGAAACCACAGAGATTCTCGGACCACACCGATTGCGAGATAGGACCTGCACCGAGAGGCAAGTCCACCGCGGCAGAACCTACAGCGGCCCGTGTCCTGGACCTGGACTTGAACCTTGTGTTCTTTGGCTCGGGTTTGCGCCTCCCATTCAGAGCTCAGAGCGGCATTCTGCAGAGTTAATGGTTCACAGCCACATCTGGACCACAATGCACTGGGGCACGGGCCGGGGGAGACAGATGTTTGGCTGTGAACGCTCCGGGATTAACGCTGGAAATTACCCAACCCCCGCAGAAATATACTTGGTTTAGTCCTGGTTTAGTCCTGGTTTAGTCCTGAGTTAGTCCTGGTTTAGTCGGAGTTTAGTCTGAGTTTAGCCTTGGTTTAGTCCTGGTTTGGTCCTAGTTTAGTCCTGATTTTAGTCCTGGTTTAGTCCTGATTTAGTCCAAATTTTTGTCCTGTTTTAGTCTCAGTTTAGTGCTGGTTTAGACCTGGTTTAGACTTGGTTTAGTCCTGGTTTAGTCCTGGTTTAGTCCTGATTCAGTCCTGATTTAGTCCTGATTTAGCCCCGGTTTAGTCCTGGTTTAGTCTCAGTTTAGTGATGGTTTAGTCCTGATTTAGTCCTGGTTTAGTCCAGGTTTAGTCCTGGTTTAGTCCTGGTTTAGTGCTGGTTTAGTGCCGGTTTAGTCCTGGTTTAGTGCTGGTTTAGTGCCGGTTTAGTCCTGGTTTAGTCTCAGTTTAGTGATAGTTTAGTCCTGGTTTAGTCCTGATTTAGTCCTGATTTTAGTCCTGGTTTAGTCCTGGTTTAGTCTCAGTTTAGTGATGGTTTAGTCCTGGTTTAGTCCTGGTTTAGTCTTGGTTTAGTCCTGGTTTAGTGCTGGTTGAGTGCCGGTTGAGTCCTGAGTCCTGGTTTAGTCCTGGTTTAGTCCTGGTTTAGTCTCAGTTTAGTGATGGTTTAGTCCTGGTTTAGTCTTGTTTAGTCCTGGTTTACTTCTGTTTCAGTCTCAGTTTAGTCCTGGTTTAGTCCTGGTTTAAACTTGTTTAGTCCTGGTTTAGTTCTGTTTCAGTCTCAGTTTAGTCCTGGTTTAGTCTTGTTTAGTCCTGGTTTAGTTCTGTTTCAGTCTCAGTTTAGTCCTGGTTTAGTCTTGTTTAGTCCTGGTTTAGTTCTGTTTCAGTCTCAGTTTAGTCCTGGTTTAGTCTTGTTTAGTCCTGGTTTAGTTCTGTTTCAGTCTCAGTTTAGTCCTGGTTTAGTCCTGGTTTAGTCCTGGTTTAGTCTTGGTTTAGTCCTGGTTTAGTCCTGGTTTAGTCTTGGTTTAGTCCTGGTTTAGTCCTGGTTTATGCTCGTCTCCAGTTCAGGTTGTTTATATATTTGTGTTTGTCTTCTGTTTGTCTCTCAGTCCCTGGTCCAGTCCAACGGTCAGTCGGGTCAGATCCTGGTCCTGAACCAGGACTTGGACTCGGCGGTTTGTCCAGAGGAGGTGGACGTCCTCCTCACAGAGCCGACTGGGCACCTGCTGCTGTCCGACCCTCACGTACAGACGGTCCTGAGAGCCAAGAAGTGCCTCAAACCTGGAGGTACAGTTCATTTTACAACATTATACTGTCCCTCTGCTCTCTGCGCTAAGTCACTACCCCTTCAGAGCGCTATCAAAACATTCTCAAGTGTCAGGCTAGTGTGCAATTAATCGAATATTTTGATCGCGATTTTAATTTGTGCGTCAAACAATCTCAAAAGTCATATAATCCAGTTGAAACGATTTAAAGCTTAACGTTTATTTTGAGATATTTTTATATAATTAAGGATGTTTATTTAAATTTTTAGACCTGGTTCAGTTCTGGTTTAGACCTGGTTCAGTCAACGGTTTAGTCCTGGTTTAGTCCTGGGTTAATCCTGGTTCAGTCCTGGTTTAGTTCTGGTTCAGTCCTGGTTCAGTTCTGGTTTGGACCTGGTTCAGTTCTGGTTTAGTCCTGGTTCAGTTCTGGTTTAGACCTGGTTTAGTTCTGGTTTAGTCCTGGTTTAGTCCTGGTTTAGACCTGGTTTAGTCCTGGTTTAGTCCTGGTTTAGTCCTGGTTTAGTCCTGGTTTAGACCTGGTTTAGACCTGGTTTTGTCCTGGTTCAGTCCTTGTTCAGTTCTGGTTTAGTCCTGGTTCAGTCCTGGTTTAGTCCTGGTTTAGTCCTGGTTTAGTCCTGGTTTAGACCTGGTTTAGTCCTGGTTTAATCCTGGTTTAGACCTGGTTTAGTCCTGGTTTAGACCTGGTTTAGTCCTGGTTTAGTCCTGGTTTAGACCTGGTTTAGTCCTGGTTTAGTCCTGGTTTAGTCCTGGTTTAGACCTGGTTTAGTCCTGGTTTAGACCTGGTTTAGACCTGGTTTAGTCCTGGTTTAGTCCTGGTTTAGTCCTGGTTTAGACCTGGTTTAGATCCTGGTTTAGACCTGGTTTAGTCCTGGTTTAGTCAACTGGTTTAGACCTGGTTTAGACCTGGTTTAGACCTGGTTTAGTCCTGGTTTAGTCCTGGTTCACAGTTACTTTGTTGAGAATAAATTAAAACTGCTGCAATAAGTAACAAGTCATAAATAAACAACACATTACAGTTTAAAAGTCACTCGTCCAACAGTGAACGTAACGTGTGCACGAGGCGGAGAGGGGCTGTCGGAGCAGATCGGCAGCCTCACTTCTGTCTGTCCCGGGGCGGCTGTGACTACAATAATAACATCTCCGCACAATCAAATCTGGAGTGAAAGAAAAATGCTCGAAATCAAAACATCTGCGAAAGTCTTTAATCGTAATAATGTGTCTTCTTCTCTGATTTTATTTTGTTTTTCAGGTTTGATATTTCCGACCTGGGCTGATCTCCACTTGGCTCCTTTCAGCGACGAGCAACTTTATTTTGAAAACTACGCAAGAGCTGCTTTCTGGTCTGAAATCCCCCCCCCCTCACATAAAGAACACACACGTTTTTACTTCTCACGGTATCGTAACAGCACGACCTGGAGACGTTACTGTGAAAATAAACTCGGAGACTTGTGAGGACCCCCCTTTAAGTCCACGCTTGAAGACCCGAAAACATTACAGTCCTGTCCCGGTTCTGGGTTAGTCTCTGGTCTGGTCTCTGGTCTGGTCTCTGGTCCGTGTCTCCTATGCCGTAAAACGCTCCATTTCAGTCCAGACCTGAATCAGCGAAAGTCCAAATGATACGGACTAGAACTTCGACTTCCATAAAACTCTTCAATTTTTTTAAAAGAATAATTTTTACCTCAAACTTACGCAATTTTCTGATCATTTTTATCGTGTCGTTTCCTCGTCACAAACAGATCTGGAGTTGTGTTTTGTTTCCTTCACACGTGTTTAATTAACACACAAATCCTGCGTATTTTGGCTCTTGTCTCTAACGGAAAACACTCTGTTCCACCTTGTGATGTCATGTGGTAATAGATGTTTTTAGTCCTGGTTTAGTCCTTGTTCAGCCCTGGTTTAGTCTCAGTTTAGTGCTGGTTTAGTCCTTGTTTGGTCCTGGTTTAGTCCTGATTTAGCCCTAGTTTAGTACTGGTTTAGACCTGGTTTAGTCTCAGTTTAGTCCTGGTTTAGTCCTTGTTTAGTCCTGCTTTAGTCCTGTTTTAGTCTCAGTTTAGTCCTGGTTTAGTCCTGGTTTAGTCTTGGTTTAGTTCTGGTTTAGTCTCAGTTTAGTCCTGGTTTAGTCCTGATTTAGCCCTGGTTTAGTGCTGGTTTAGTCCTGGTTTAGACCTGGTTTAATCTCAGTTTAGTGCTGGTTTAGTCCTGGTTTAGTTCTGGTTTAGTCCTGATTTAGTCTGAGTTTTGTCCTGGTTTAGTCCAGGTTTAGTCCTGGTTTAGTCCTGGTTTAGACCTGGTTTAGTCTCAGTTTAGTGCTGGTTTAGTTTCTGGTTTAGTCCTGATTTAGTCTGAGTTTTGTCCTGGTTTAGTCCTGGTTTAGTCCTGGTTTAGACCTGGTTTAGTCTCAGTTTAGTGCTGGTTTAGTTCTGGTTTAGTCCAGGTTTAGTCCTGGTTTAGTCCTGGTTTATTTTGGCTCTTCTCTCTAACTGAAAACACTCTGTTCCACCTTGTGATGTCATGTGGTAATAGACTTTTTTCACAACGACAGGAAGTGCCGCGATGTAGAGTAAACGTCACTTATGTTAATGCTTTTTTAAGGCAAAATATTTGGAGTAAAAAAGCTTTCAAAAATTTTCGTGAGCATAGAATAGAAATCCGTGTGTATTTGGAAAATCTGTGCATATTTGGCTGTAGTTGCGCATAAAATAAATATCTGTAAACTCTCAAATGAGTCCAGTCGTAAATAAAATAGATTGTGTGTATTTTATCCAACAGAATACGAACTGAAAAGTTACGACGCCAAGAATTACAATCACGAAATGAAAATTTACGATTACGCTTTCATCAGTGCGAATACGAATTCAGACCAAGAGTTTGTTTTCTGCAACTTCCAAGCATTTCAGGCGGCTTTGCGTTAAAGGGAAAAGTATAGTTTTATAGGTCTGTGTGTACGACCTGCAGATGTATAATCTCGTAAAAGTTTAACATGAACCATCTCCAACACGACAGAAACACAGAACAGACTCACCATCAGCAGAACACCCCTCTGTCACAGAAACAACACTCATATTCCACTGAGTCGTGTCCTTTAGTCCGACAGAAGCTGAACCACATCAGCGCACAAGGAGCGAGCTGTTTTTTAAGCTCTCAGTTTATGCAAATGACCCACGTGGTTTTAAGTTTAGTTTCTGTTAAACGTAAACAAATGTGCTCAAAGCTGTGTGGCTGGGGAAGGTTTGTGGACACAGAAACGACGTGTCTGGACACAAATCATTTCCGTTACGGTGATACGTTTCAGTGTAAACTTCGCCTAAGTAACTTTTGAACTCAGACTGATTCTACCATAAAACCAAAAAACAGGAGTGTCAAACATACGGCCCGGGGGCCTGATCCGGTCCTCCAAGAGCTTTAATCTGGCCCTCAGCTGATTTTCTCCTAAAATATTTTAATTATATTTTCTATTAAAATATTGGTAATTTTCTGCTGTGCTTAGCAGAGCAGCGTCTCTGTACGTGGCCCCTCCCACCAGAGCAGCACAAATGAAGACTTGTCTCTTTCCAAACGCTCTTAAAGGACGATCGTTTTGACTGTTGACCGTGACACCCTCATCAGAAAAATGTCCAACATGAGAAAAGTGGAGCCGAGTGCAGGATTTTACAACAAAAAAAAATTACTTATTCCTATTTTAAGTTAATGTTAAAACATTGTGTTGAAATTGCATTTTTCTTAAAGTTTCAGATTGTTCACAATATTATAATATTTTGTAAAAGAAAGAGTTCATCAATTAAAAAATATTTCTGTAATAGATTTGTGTTTCTCTGCACAAATATTTGAACTTACTGTTATTTTTGGGGTTTATATGACATGAGTTTTTTGATCCGGCCCCTTTGGGATCAAAGTAGGTTGGATATGGCCCCTGGACCAAAATGAGTTTGACACTCCTGCCATAAACCTTGAAGTTCCACAAACCTACAGCGGCGCTTTTCCACTGTAAGTAAGTGCTCCCCTGTATTTTTAAACTCCACGCACCTTCGCTAGAATCATTTGGATAATTTTGTGCCCTCAAACTGTTTATCTCTTCTGAACTAAAGGTCATTTAAAGGAGCTGTTACCTTGAAAACTGTCGCTTGGTTGGAACACGGCGTTTTGAGATTTGGAGATGTAGACAGACTAATAATAAAGTGTTGCTCAAACGTGTGAATGAAACAACTACTGAGCTTTTATCTACTTACTTTTCATGAACAATAGCCCCAGTATGTGAGTTTACGGAGGTCAGGCTCGGTCGGCGTCCAGGAATGAACGAAATCTTTGAGACAAACCCATTAGAAACAGCTGTGGTAATACACACTATTAACTTTGAACTATGTCTCTACTCAAACGAGAGCAACAAGGAAAATATTTATACTCGAGCACTAAAACTCACTTCAAGAAAATACAGTGGACTAAACCAGGACTCAAGTGGGGTTTAATATCAGGGCCAGACCAGGACTAAACCCAGACTCAAAAAGCGGAAAAAAGAAGTTCGACCAGGACTTAAACTAGAACAAAACAAGATTAAACAAAGCTCAATCATTTTAATAATATAATCATTTTTATTACGTTAATTAAGTTTAAAATTAATAATATAATGTAATAACCACTGTTGGACGAGTGACTTTAAAACTGTAATGTGTAATTTATTTATGACTTGTTTCTGTCATTTCAAAGTAATTAGTTACATTACAATATTACTGTGTTTAAAATGTAAAATATTACACGACTGTTACAGAACTTTTAATTTACTCTCAACAAAATAATGTGAAGATGCTGAACTTTTGCGCCGTAAATGGACTGAACAGGACTAAACCAGGTCTAAACTAGGACCAAACCAAAACTGAACCAGCACTAAACCAGGTCTAAACTAGGTCTAAACCAGCACTAAACCAGGACTAAACTAGGACTAAACCAGCACTAAACCAGGACTAAACTAGGACTAAACCAGCACTAAACCAGGACTAAACCAGGTCTAAACTAGGTCTAAACCAGGACTGAACCAAGGACTAAACCAGGTCTAAACTAGGTCTAAACCAGCATTAAACCAGGTCTAAACCAGGTCTAAACTAGGTCTAAACCAGGACTGAACCAAGGACTAAACCAGGTCTAAACTAGGACTAAACCAGGACTAAACTAGGACTAAACCAGCACTAAACCAGGACTAAACCAGGTCTAAACTAGGTCTAAACCAGCATTAAACCAGGACTAAACCAGGACTAAACCAGGTCTAAACCAGGACTGAACCAAGGACTAAACCAGGACTGAACCAGGACTAAACCAGGTCTAAACTAGGTCTAAACCAGGTCTAAACCAGGACAAAACTAGGACTAAACCAGGACTTAATCAGGACTGAATCAGGACTAAACCAGGACTAAACCAAGGACTGAACCAGGAATAAACCAGAACTGAACCAGCACTAAACCAGTTCTAAACCAGGACTAAACCAGGACTAAACCAAGGACTGAACCAAGGACTAAACCAGGACAAAACCAGGACTAAACCAGGACTAAACTAGGTCTAAACCAGGTCTAAACCAGGACTAAACTAAAATATAGGGGCTATTTTGTCTTCCCTTGATAATGAGCCAGTAATGTCTGAATGTTTTGTCTGTAACTACATTATCGGCTGCAGTTATTTACATTATTAGAGAAAATTTTCCTTTAGACCAAATATATCTGAGAACATTATTGTCTGATTTTGCTGTAACTTTTCAATGGACGATCTGCCACATTATATTATTATATTTACGTTTACCTGGTATCTTCAACTCCGTTCTTGCTTGTTTTTTAGGCAACAGAGGAATTTCTGCGGAATAAACCTGAGTTCTCTTCACAACTCTGCAGTGGACGAGTTTTTCAGACAGCCCATAGTGGTAAAGTTATACACTATTTTTAATTTAATCAGATTGTATTTTATTTCAATAATCTTGTTTTGAATTGTTCTAGGACACGTTTGAAGTCCAGATCCTGATGTCTCGCTCGGTGAAACATCGGATTAACTTCAAGGAGGCCGCACCAGAAGATCTCCAGAGGTTAGAATCTGCTTCTGTTGACAAATAACTCACAGAATAATGAAACGTAAACTTTGAATAACCATCTACATATTTAATAACTTTCACTGTTTACTTAGCAGCTAATGACTCTGTATGAACATTTTTGAAAGGTGAAATAAAGTTTCACTGTGTCATTTTTGGCGAGAAGCTCCTCCACCTGCTTGTCTCCATGGAGAAGTTGCTACTTTGCCAAGAATGTTCCACAATTTGGTATTAAACTTCTGTCTATTTGTCAAAAAAACAAAAAACAGTCCAGTCCAATCCAACTTTATTTATATAGCACATTTTACCAACACAAAGTCTCCAACACATAAAATAAAATAAAGTATAAAATTAATAAATAAACAAGTAAATAAAAAACATAAAAAATACAAAAATTTGCAAATAGAGTGTTACAAGCCAGTGAGTAACAGGTCAGATCTGTGGAGAGGCGAACTCACTCACAGTAAGAAAGCAAAAACAACACTCGTAGTTGAATAAATCCAGGATAGAGTCGTGGAAGAATCTGGGCAAAGCATGAACATCTCCACAGAGACAAGCAGAAAAGTTACATATTGCACCTTTAAATTTAAAAAAAAAAATTTTTTTCAGAGTGGAGATTCCCTTTACGTTCACTCTACAACAGTCTGGACTCGTTCACGGACTGGCCTTTTGGTTTGACTTGGCCTTTCAAGGATCCAAGTACAAATCACATTATTTTTATTATTAATTTAAATACAATAAAAAACTTTATATTATAAAAAATAAAAATCTTAATCTCTAGAGCGACTGTTTGGATGTCCACCGCTCCGACAGAACCTTTGACCAGATGGTACCAGGTCCGGTGCTTGTTCCAAACTCCACTCTTCAGTAAAATGGGACAAACTTTGACTGGGCGTGTGATACTGGCCGCTAACGACAGGTAAAATATCAGACCTTTTAAGTTCATTTCATTTTTCCATTCCATTTTCTTCCGCTTTATCTGGGGCCGGGTCGTGGAGGCAGCAGTCTAAGCAGGAACTCCACCTCTTCACCACAACGGATCGATACAGCGACCACATCACTGCCGACGCTGCACCGATCCACCTGTCAATCTCACGCTCCATCCTCCCCTCACTCATGAACAAGACCCCGAGATACTTGAACTCCTCCACTTGAGGCAGGGACTCTCCACCCACCCGGAAAGGGCAAGATGCCTTTTTCCGGTCGAGAACCACGGCCTCGGGCTTAGAAGAGCTGATCCTCATCCCAACCACTTCACACTCGGCTGCAAACCGCCCCAGTGCACATTGCAGGTCCTGGTTCGATGAAGCCAACAGGACAACATCATCTGCAAACAGCAGAGATGAAATCCTGTGGTCCCCAAACCGGACCCCCTCCGGCCCCTGACTGCGCCTAGAAATTCTGTCCATAAATACAATGAACAGAACCGGTGACAAAGGGCAGCCCTGGCGGAGTCCAACATGCACCAGGGAACAGGTCTGACTTACTGTCGGCAATGAACACAGCTCCTGCTCCGGTCATACAGGGACCGGACAGCCCTTAGCAAAGGGCCCCAGACCCCATAGTCCCAGAGCACCCCCCACAGGACACCACGAGGGACACGGTCGAATGCCTTCTCCAAGTCCACAAAACACATGTGGACTGGTTGGGCAAACAGTGTTCCTGCTCCTCCTGGGTCCGAGGTTCGACTATGGGCCGGATTCCCTTCTCCAGTCCCTGGCATAGACCTTATCAGGGAGGCTGAGGAGTGTGATTCCCCTGTAGTTGGAACACACCCTCCGGTCCCCCTTCTTATACAGAGGGACCACCACCCCGGTTTGCCAGTCCAGAGGTACTGTCCCCGACCGCCACGCGATGTTGAAGAGGCGTGTCAGCCAAGACTCACAACATCCAGAGACTTAAGATACTCAGGACGGATCTCATCCACCCCCGGAGCCTTGCCACCGAGGAGCTTGCCAACCACCTCATTCATTTTTATATTTCAAAATTTATCAATATTTTAAGTTGTAATAGTTTGAGTAGATGTTGTTTTTTTGTAGTGTCTAATATTTTATGATGCTTACTGTCTTACAATTACACTTGAATTAGATTAAACTGTTTTTATTTTTAGACAAAGTTACGACATCCACATCACAGGAACCATTGACCAATCAGGATTCACCTCTGGAAATGTTTTGGATCTGAAAAACCCGTTCTTTAGGTAGTTTTCTGTCTTTTTCATTATTTTATGTTATTATTATTTTTGAACATATCTAATTAAAATATTTTATTGTGCTGTACGTAGACAAAATCAATGTGTGTATGTCTGTGTGTGGGTTTAAAGGATGCCCTCCTGGTTCCACAGTTAAAGACCAAAACAAGATATTCTGAAAGTGGCGCGTCATTTTGTCATCTGAAGAATTTTTAACACTAAAAAGGTAAACAAATGGTTATTTTTATTTATTCATTTATTCATTTTGTTAATAGCAATTGCACGAAACCACTCAAGCAAGTACTAAATCTGTCCACTAGAGGGCAATAAATCCTCTTTTTTCCACATACACTGAATAGTTTTTATATACAGTCTCTAGAAATTTCTATAAACAGTTGATTTTAAAGGTGTAACATGTAACTTTTGATTGATTTTGATGTTATAATTTCTAGATCTATATACACTCTATAGTTTTACACGAGAAATATTTGTTTATAGACAGATTCCGAGCAGATATAATTCTTTGCTTCTAAAATTTTTCAGTCCAGGATCATCAGACGACTGAAGGTTTCCAGTGTTTAAAGCTATTTTCAGTATTTTCAACTAAGTATAATATTTCTTCTTTCTTTGTGTGGATAATATGTGCAAGATAATGTAAATAAACACGTGTAGTTTCTGTGTTTTAATATTTCTTGTGGTTTTTAACGACACATATATATATATATATATATATATATATATATATATATATAGTTTACAGATCAACTGGTGAACCATTTTAGATCCAAAATGTTTATAACTCCTCAAATAAATATTGTAATTTTAAAGTTTTATTAAAGTGTAAGATTTGTAATGATTAATCTATATTTTTATAAAAGTAGTAAAGTAAACTAAACCAGTGTGCGCTATTATTATTTTATAAAAAATAAAAAATTACGTGCTAAAAGTACATAGCATGTTACCATAGGGATTAACAATCTAAAATAAAATATTATGTACATTTTGGGGAGAAAGTTGTGAAAATCTTGGAAGCTGAAACCCATTAGTTAAGCTATTTATAAATTTTTTTATTGCTTTTGATTAAATTGCATGGAAATTATTTGTGCACTTTGCTCTAGGTCCACTTATACATTATTGGTCTATAGTTTATAAAGAAAAAATACTGAAAATGATCTTATTTTTGAGGGTTTTTAAATATTTATCAGCCAGATATATGGCGGGTGTAGTTGACGGAAATAAACACTAGATGGCGAACGTGCGCTGCTCAATAAACCCAAGAAGAAGAAGAAGAACTCCGGTTTCTTTTAGCATCACCAGCGCCAATGTAGCGAACTAATCTGACAAAAAACCCGCTTTTTCACCTAATTTTCTGTAACTAAACTCGAATCGCAGCTGCAGACATTTCAAAGAAGGTTTATTTCACCCGGTCGTAACATTTGACAGGATGTTGGCCACGGGAGCCGTAAGTTTTGACGTTGTTTATATTAGCATGTGGGCTAATAGCATGTTAGCGTCGTATTCAAAAAGCGAACGACGCAGAAGATTTGTTTAAAATGGGAATTATTATTATAATTATTGGTTCAGATTTGTCAATTACGGTACCATTTGCACAAAACGTAGAAATAATGCAGTTAAAGATGGTAGCAGGAACCTAGGTTAGATTCTACGAGTATTTGCACAATTTATGCATGTGTTTATACAAATATAGAACCACTGTTGTGACTTTAAAACTGTAATGTGTTATTTATGACTTGTTTCTGTCATTTCAAAGTAATTTGTGACATTACTATATTACTGTGTTTAAAATGTAAAACATTACACGACTATTACAGCACTTTTAATTTACTCTCAACAAAAAAACTGTGAAGATGCTGAACTTTTGTGCCTTATATGGACTGAACCGAGGACTAAACCAGGACTAAACCACAGCTGAACCAGGACTAAACCAGGACTAAACCAGGACTGAACCAGGACTAAACCAGAACTCAACCAGGACTAAACCAGAGCTGAACCTGGACTGAACCAGGACTGAACCAGGACTAAACCAGGACTAAAGAAACAGAAACAGAAAATACTGTGGAGGTCAGGGCCAAAATGCTTAACTAAATTGTGCATGAGGTAAAATTATAAAATATGTTTATTTTGGAATTCCAAATTAGTTTAAATGGGCCGGTCAAAGTCAACCAAACGTCCGTATGTGGCCCCAGAGCTGTACAATCCCCAGGTCTTTTTTAATCTAATGAGGACAATGTATTTTTAAAAAATACCTAGTTTACCTTAGTTTGTGTTTTTGTCTGTATATTTCACATTTCCAAAAAAATGTATTATGATTTTTTTTTTTATTTTTTTTTGATGTTGTTAGATTGAACTTGCTGAAACTAATTTGACCAAACACACTTGTAGCCCTGATGATGTTTTGAGACTGTACTTAAACGCTGCTTGTAAATACACAGGCTGTGACGTCGGCGCTGGCGCAGGTCGACCGGGAGAAGATTTACCAGTGGATAAACGAGCTGTCGAGTCCCGAGACCCGTGAGAACGCTTTACTGGAGCTCAGCAAGAAACGAGAGTCTGTGCCCGACCTGGCGCCCATGCTCTGGCACTCGTGTGGCACTATCGCCGCCCTGCTGCAGGTGACAGGGGAGAGAGGCTGGGGTTAATGTAGGACTGACACCTCACAACAAAATACCTCACAATAAAATATATATAATCATACCTTGATGTAATATGTGTCCTAATCCATGGATACCCCTTAAAAACAGTTTTAAAAGTTCACAAAATTGATGTTTTGATTATGTAGAGAAACAAAACATATTGGAATTTCATGTTCACAGTGCTCTTAACATCAGAACACAATTGTCTAGATTTAATTGAGTAGTATATGGATATAGTTTAACTTTAGTTGTATAATTTTGAGGCCCTAGGAAGACCCAGGATGTGCTTGTCTGTCAGCTGGCCTGGGAACGACTTGGGGTCCCACTGCAAGAGCTGGAGGAAGTGTGTGTGGAGTGGGAAGTCTGTGCCTCCCTGCTCAGACTGCTGCCTCCTCCACGGATAAAGAAGAAGAAAATAGACAGACATATGATTTCTCTGAACTGAAAATATCTTCTTTTTATTTGTAGGAAATCGTAAACATCTATCCTTCTATCAACCCTCCCACTCTGACAGCTCATCAGTCCAACCGAGTCTGTAACGCTCTGGCTCTGCTCCAGTGCGTCGCCTCACATCCAGAAACCAGGTCTGAACCACCACAATGTCTTTAATTTTCTGTAAAGCCAATATAGATTAATAGATAGATTGCTGATCCGCTAAATGTATGTTATGTGCTTACTTAAAAAATAAATGGCACAAACAAATAAATGAATAAAATGACATGTTTTCAGCGTATTGTTTTGTTTTTTCAGGACAGCGTTCTTGGCCGCACACATCCCTCTCTTCCTGTACCCGTTCCTTCACACCGTCAGTAAAACACGGCCTTTCGAATACCTCAGACTCACGAGTTTAGGAGTCATTGGTAAGAAACTCTACAATGTGTTAAATCTATTTCAGTATCAATAAGGATGTTTAGTTTTCCACTGTCACAAATTAATTTTGCAATATATCTTATTTCTTTACATAAAAAGTGACTCCTCTGTGTTTCATATTTTCCAGGCGCTCTCGTTAAAACAGATGAACAGGAGGTGATCAACTTCCTTTTAACGACTGAGATCATCCCTCTGTGCCTTCGGATCATGGAGGCCGGCAGTGAGCTCTCAAAAACGGTAATTAATTATCATTTAACTAGAGCCCTGCGGGACCCGAAGCAAACCACTGCGACGCAGGACACATTGTGAAAACTCGCTGCGGGCGAGAGTGGGACTAAACAACGTGGGAGCGGGCAGGAGGGATGATAAACTGCAGTCCCACAAACTAAATATGAGTATAAAGTAAAATGTACAAAAGATGAATGTAAGCATATCATGCATAATTTGTGCTGGAGATTTAATTTGGCATTAATAAAAACATTTTAACCAGCAAACGTCCACCTTCCCGTACATCGCGTGAACAGTCCCTCCTTCCGTACGTCCTGCGGCCTGCGCAACAAAATCAGGTCTAAAAACAGGTCTAAAACCTGGACTAAAACAGGATTTAGCCAGGACTTAACCATGCCACTGGATCGCCCACCGCGCCTCCTTCCATACGCAGCCCAATTCCTTTCGCTTCTCCGTGTTTGATAGAGCTTAAGAAAGTAAGGTTCCCATCCTGCAGGACTTGCAGGCGGGCGCGGGACAAAATATCGCAGATGCGGGCGGGAGCGGGACTGAAAATTACAATTCTTTGCGGGAGCAGGCGGGAGTGGGACTGAAAATTCTGTCCCGTGCAGACCTCTACTTTTAATCATGTTTTTAAGATGCCAATACATTTCTGTTGTCTTTAATCACCATTCTGTTGTTAGCATTTTTTTCTATACTTTTAAGCTACTGTGCCAAAGAATTCAAACCAAACTCTAAACGTTCAAGTCTTAAAATAACATAATTTATTTTTCAGTAGTTTAATATTTAGTAGTCTAATTTTGTGACTTTTGTGATTTCCAGGTTGCCACTTTCATCCTTCAGAAAATCCTTTTAGACGACACGGGTTTGGCGTACATCTGTCAGACCTACGAGCGCTTCTCTCACGTCGCCATGATTTTAGTGAGTTTACACAACAAATCAATAATACGTAATCATGAATTGTAAATGTTTAAATATGTTTGTTGTATTTTGTTTCAGGGTAAAATGGTTCTTCAGCTCTCAAAAGAACCTTCAGCTCGACTCCTCAAACACGTTGTTCGCTGTTACTTACGACTTTCAGATAACTCCAGGTAAAAAAACGACTAACTCCACTTACGATACACAAACTTTTATTTCAATCGGTGTTTTAAGTAGCGCCCCCTGGTGGTCGTATTGGTTTCATAGAACAGTAGTCACATTACTACTTACTAGTCTCATATAAATGGGCAAATAAATAGCAAATGTAAGGGAATAACTGTTTTAATCTCTCAAAATGGTGGTAGAAATTGTATCAGTAAAAGTAGTTTAAGTAATTAATAAAGTGAGAGTAAAACATGTATTAAAAGTATTTGATTTTAAAAAATTACTCAGTGCTTGGGAACTGCGTTTTTTTTTGTGGGGGATAGTTTTGCTGTAAAAAAGTGTTGTAATTCTAAAAATCAAAAGTAGTTTAAAAGTATTTTTCTTTATGGTTGAGACCTGCTGAAATGTCTGAGACTTATTTTTTTTTGTTTTCAATTGAGTTAATGCCCCAACTTTGAGCAAAAAAAAAAAAATCAAATCCACATTAAACGGAGACAAATTAATGAAGGTTAAAATAAAGGATAAAATGTTTTTTAAAAATACAGAAAAATTAAGAAATCAGCTCAATTCTTTATCAAAATCACTCTATTTGATGCTTTAATTATTTTAAAAAAATCTCAGAAAATGTACTTTGTGAAATACTTTTATTTACTTTTTACTCCTAAACTCTTACTTAAGTTGATTTTTTTTTTTTTTTTCCATTTTCATTCCCCCAGTATCTGTACTTTTACTTAAGTATCAAAATTGAATACTTCATCCACCACTGACCAATGTATAGGGTATTAAAAATAATTAATTAAAATAGACTGATTTCACACTCTGAACACTGTTTTTGATTTTTATCTTTTTATGGAAACTCTCTGGTGAAGTACAAAAGTAAAAGTACAAATTTTTAGGTATCTATACTTTACTTTATTCAATTTGACAGTGGATACTTTTTTACTTTTACTTCTTTACATTTGAAAGCATGTATCTGGACTTTCTACTCCACTTCGTTTTAGATGTGGATTTAAAAGTAAAAAGTACTTTCCTTTATGGTTTGAAACTTATTTTTTTGTTTTAATGTGCCCCAATTTTGAGCAAAATGAAAAAAAACAAATACAGAAAAATACGATACAAAAATTAATAAAGGATAAAAATAGAAAAATTAATAAAAGAAAAAAATATATATATATAAACTAAATAATAAATAATAAAGTAAATAATAAAATAAAAATTAATAAAGGATAAAAATAGAAAAATTAATAAAGGATAAAAATAGAGAAATGTTTATTGAATCACTTAAAATCTAAATCACTTTAATCAAAATCTAACCAATTGATGCTTTAATTATTCAAAAAAATCTCTGCAAAATACTTTTACTTTTTACTTTTAAAGTACAGTTTCAAACAGGTACTTCAATAGTTTTATTCAAGTAGATTTTTTTTCATTTTCATATTTTCATTGCCCCCAGTATCTGTACTTTTACTTAATTTACTTACTTATATGTATACGGTATTAAAATAATTCTTTATCACTGTCTGATTTCACACTCTGCAAACAGTTTTTGATTATTACCTTTTTATTGAATCTCTGTCTTGCGTTTTGTTTCCAGAGCGAGAGAAGCCTTACGTCAGTGCCTCCCGGATCAGCTCAAAGACACCACGTTCGCGCAGGTTTTAAAAGACGACACCACCACGAAGCGCTGGCTGGCCCAGTTAGTCAAGAACCTCCAGGAGGGACAGGTGACCGACCCGAGAGGCATCCCGCTCACCCCTCAGTGACCCCGGGGTCCGACGAGGAGAGAGACAGACCGTCAACCAACCGCCAACAAGCACAAACCAGCGAAAAACCTGCCAGAAAACAACAACAAGGAGCCGTGGAGGATTCAAAAGGACTTTATCTGTTTAGTCATTTGTCTTGGCATCCATTTTAACTAAAGCTGTACTGTAAAATGCAACTGCCAAATGGGAAATAAACCGGTTAAATGTGAACTTTTTTGATCTCCTGGTTTAGTTTTTGGCATTTAAAGTCCCTACATCTGATTATTATTGTCTTAAAAACGTGAAAAACACAACTAGTTTTATTTATTTTAAACAGTTTGCAGTCATCCAAGCCCCTAAAATGAAAATTCTCAAACTTATCAAAAGAGGGTTTTTTTGGGGTTTTTTTTACGTTGTATGTTTTAAGACAAAAAATTAAGAATAAATCATGCACTGCGAAAAACAAAATCTAGCCAAGTTAAGTTGACCTGAATTAAGAAAGTTTTTGTCATGATTTGAGTAAATTTCTCTTGACAAGTAAAATTATCTACCAGAGGAATAAGATTTTTTGTCCTTAAAATATGAAAATGCATCTCGCTACATGTAAAATAAGAAAAACAACTTTTTGCACTTAAAATAAGAAACTAAAATTTTGTTTCTTATTTTGAATCAACTCAAATAAAGCAAAATGATCTTAATTTAAGTAATTTAAATTTAATGAGATATTGTTGTTGTTTTTGTCCCAGTGTGATTAGGCATAATAAAAGATGCACTGTGTAACTTTTCAGATGGAGGCTCTGCTTGTCTCCATGGAGATTTTACTGCTTTGCCTGGAGTGTTCCACATGTAGCGTTTACCCCTTAAGATTCTAATTAGACTGTGTAAAACTTAAGCCGGGGGTGTCAAACATACGGCCTGGGGGCCGGATCCGGCCCTCCAAAACTTTTAATCTGGCCCTCGGCTGATTTTCTACAAAAATATTTTTATTATATTTTCTATTAAAATATTGTTAATTTTCTGCTGTGCTTAACAGAGCAGCGTCTCCAGCGTCTCTGTACGTGGCCCCTCCCACCAGAGCAGCACAAATGAAGACTTGTCTCTTTCCAAACGCTCTTAAAGGACGATCGTTTTGACTGTTGACCGTGACACCCTCATCAAAAAAATGTCCAAAATAAGAAAAGTGGATGCTGAGTGTAGAATTTTCCAAGAAAAATTGACTTATTCCTATTTGCATGAAAGTTCATGTTAAAACATTGTGTTGAAATTGTTTTTTTTTTTTTTTAAGATTCAGGTTGTTCATAATATTATAATATTTTGCAAAAGAAAGAGTTCATCAATTAAAAAGATTTCTGGAATAGATTTGTGTTTCTCTGCACAAATATTTGAACTTATTGTTATTTTTGAGGTTTATATGACATGAGTTTTCTGATCCGGCTCCTTTAGGATCAAAGTAGATTGGATACGGCCCCCGGACCAAAATGAGTTTGACACCCCTGGTCTAGTGTATCTGATTCCTGACCTAGTCACTGGAGAGAAATGAAACTGAGTGGAGGCACTAGGTGGCGCCAGCCTGGGTAGGTGAAGGTATATGGATTTTTAAAAAGACAGTGGAGCTGCTTTCCTGTATTACCACATGACATCACAAAGTGGAATGGAGTGGGGGTTTTTTTGGGAGAAGAACTCAGCCTAAATCAGCAGGGTTTGTGTGTTAAACATGTGAATGAAACAAAAAAACACAACTCCAGGTTTGTTTGTTTGTGACGAGGAAACATTAGAACAGATCAGAAAAATAGCCTCATATGGGCATTTTGATTTGAACATTATTTTTGCTTTTAATTAGTTTTCCAAATTGTAACAAACCCAACCGCTTTCCCTTAACTTTCTCCACCATGGCAAGTCCAGCGACTTGCCATGATGTAATCCGCAATGTCTTCTGGGTAACGTAGTTTCCTTTTCCATTGTGAGGGAGCCCCTTCATTTTACTCTTGGCCAAGTCTCTGTAATTCGACCAGTGTAACTCAAACCAAAGTTTTTATTATTAATGCCGCCAGAACTTGAGCAGGGAACACGGTCGAAGGAGTAAAAACAAAAGAGCCACTTACAAATCTCAAAATATTCTCCAAATTGACCGTGCATTTTGTATCGGAATCCACAATTCAGTGATCTCGAACATGCTTTTTTTGCATTACAACTGTAGATACTGGTTTTGCGTCTTGTCCAGTTGCAGCTTGTTTAAATTAGCGTATCAATATTTAAAGAGAAGAAACGTTAGACTAAACTCCATGTGTCATTTTGTCGCCGCTCGCTCACTTGGCAAAAAAGACCCACAGTGGTCCCAAGTCAAATCTGAAGCACTGGTTTAAAAACGAGACAAAAGAAAAACGACTAAGTACAGAAGAAGAATAAAAAATAGTAATAATATATGGATTTAGTGTAGATAGAAGTGGGTAGTGCTCAGTTGCGTTGATGTGAGAGCTTTTTAAAGGTGCATTGTGTAACATTTTTAGTTCAAATGCTGAGACAACAATCCTTTTTATATGTTCATGTCCAAACCAGACCAAGTTACAGGTCAGATCTGTGGAGAGGCGACGCCGCTCACAGTCAGAACGTTGTTTTTCTAGGGATTTTTGAGCTATAAAACCACCTGTAATTAAATAAATGTAAAGTAGAGCTGTTTAAAGTCACACTGTGGAACATTCCAGGCATATAGACACAAGCAGGTGACGGTGAAAGATTTATGTGACAATATGAAATGATTTGAACATTTGCGTTTCTTGCGGCTCCTTCAGATCTGATTTAGTTTGTCTCAGTTTTGCGTCCGTCCTTTGAAAATAATAAGATTTTGTGCTTTATTTAATGTTTTATCCTTCACATTACTAACTTAAAATTATAAATCTGATGTTACTTCAGTTACTTTTTATGTCTCTTGGACCACTACTTTGTACTTCTACTTTTTTGAAGTAACTTAAGGAGACTTGAGAAGCACTTTTAAATCTGAATTCTTTCTATTGTGACCGTAATGATTCACCCTAAGATCTTGTCAAGACGTTTAAAAAGGAAAAATTAACTAAATTCATTTCTACAACTCTTACATACTCTATAAATGCTCATACATAAATATACTATGATTTTTTAAAGTACATTTTATCTTTAAATTCATATAAATTGCAAAAATCTAAGCTATATTTGGTTCTTTGGACTTGAAATGACTTGAAGCTCAAAGCAGACGACTTGGACTTTGGACTTGACTTGGACTTACGGACCAGTGACTCGAAACTCGACTTGCCTGTATATGACTTGGGACTTGACTTGGACTTGACTTGGTCCCACCTCTGGACTCTGTTTTGTTTTGTAGTGCTGCAAAATGACCCAATAAACCACTACTATTACTGAAATCAAGTGACAAAAAGTTACATAATGCTCCTTTATTGTTACGCTCAAGTCAAAATCAAGTCAAAATGTATTTGTATCTAGTGTTGGGAGTGTTACTTTTAAAATGTAATCCCCTACAGATTACAGATTACATCCCCCAAAATGTAGTTTGTAACATAATCCATTAAATTACTTAAAGTGAGTAAAGTAATCTGAATACTTTGGATTACTTGATATTGTTTTGCTTTTTAAAACAGCATGAATGTACCAACCACATCCTGAAAATTCTTGTTTGTTTTCTTCAAATTGTCTGTTGAGCCCAAGTCTCCATGAACAGACTTTTGTTTTAGTCCTGGTTCAGTCCTGGTTTTAGTTCTAGTTTAGTCCTGGATTTAGTCCTGGTTTAGTCCTGTTTTAGTCCTAGTTTTAGTCCTGGTTTAGTCCTGGTTTTAGTCCTAGTTTTAGTCCTGGTTTAGTCCTGGTTTAGTCCTGGTTTAGACCTGGTTTTAGTCCTGGTTTAGTCCTAGTTTTAGTCCTGGTTTAGTCCGGTTTTAGTTCTAGTTTAGTCCTAGTTTTAGTCCTGGTTTAGACCTGGTTTTAGTCCTGGTTTTAGTCCTGTTTTAGTCCTAGTTTTAGTCCTGGTTTAGTCTTGGTTTAGTTCTGGTTTAGTCCTGGTTTAGTTCTGGTTTAGTCCTGGTTTAGTTCTGGTTTAGTCCTAGTTTTAGTCCTGGTTTAGTCCTGTTTTAGTCCTGGTTTAGTCCTGGTTTAGTCCTGGTTTAGCCCAAAATGTGAAAACAGGAAAATACCGCCCTGTAATCCATTTATTTCAAAAAAGTAACTGTAATCCAATTACCACTCACTGAAACAGTAACTGTAACTGAATACAGTTACTCATCATTTGTACTCTGATTACATAACTCCGGTACATGTAATCTGTTACTCCCCAACACTGCCTGTATCACACATTTAATAACCACAGTTGACCAAAGCACTTTTATTATTATTATTATTAAAACTATCATCTTTGTCTTGTCAAATTACACACATCTTAAATTCTTCTTAAACTATTCTGTCGCTGCTTATGAAAAATAAACATCACATTTATCTGTTTTCATTTTAAAAACAAAAAAATCTCCAGTCGATTCCAGTTTCTGTATTTCTCCATTTCTCAAACTAAACCACTTTTGTTCACTTGAATAGCTCGTCAAACACACTTACTTTGTTTAGGATTAGTCAATAATTAGAAATAAAGTACTGTTATTCAGTCGCGCTGGAGTAAAAGAGCCGTGTTATTTGTTTTGTTTAATCTTCGCTGATAAGGTCGATTCATTCAGAGTTGGAGGTTTGGGTTAAAGGCGTCGCCCTGTGTCCATGTTTTTCCAATGTTTAGTGAAACGTGCAGAACTTTAGAGACGACTAATGTGTCCAAAGAGACGGACGAGAGCAACGAGAGACCACAGAGAGAGGGATGGAGGGATGAGAGAGGGAGAGGAAAGAAAGGAGAGAGAGAAAGGAGAATGGGACAGTGGGAAAGGAGGAAAAGAGGAGTAGGTGTGAAGAGGAGGAGAGGAGAAAGGAAAGAAAGAGAGAAGAGGGAGGAGGAAGGATTGGAGAGAGAAAGGGGGAGTGGGTGAGAAGAGGAGAGGAAGAAAGAAGAGAGAGAAAGGAGAGGGAGGAGTGGGAAGAAAGGAAGGAGATGGAAGAGGAAGGTGGAGAGAGAAAAGAAGGAAAGGGGAAGAGTGGGGAAAGAATAGAGAGAAGCAGGTAGAGGGAGAGAAGGAAAGTAGAGACAGAAGAAGGAGGAAAAGAGGAGTAGGTGTGAAGAGGAGGAGAGGAGAAAGGAAAGAAAGAGAGAAGAGGGAGGAGGAAGGATTGGAGAGAGAAAGGGGGAGTGGGTGAGAAGAGGAGAGGAAGAAAGAAGAGAGAGAAAGGAGAGGGGGAGAGTGGGAAGGGAGGAAAAGAGGAGAAGGTGAGAAGAGGAGGAGAAAGGAAAGAGAGAGAAGAGGAAGGAGAAAGGGGGAAGAGGTGGAGGAGAGGGGGAGGTAGAGGGAAAGGAGGAAAAGAGATGAAGAGAGAGGGAGGATAGGTGTGAATAGGGAGAGGTGAGGGAGAAGAGGAGAGGTGGAGGAGAGGAAGAAAGGAGAGAGAGAAAGGAGACGAGGGAGTAGGGGAGAAGAGGAGGAGGGGAGAAAGGAAAGAGAGGGAAGAGAGAGAGAAAAGAAGGAGAGAGGGGGCAGAAAGTGGGAGAGTGGGGGGAAGGAGAGAGAGAATCGGGTAGAGGGAGAGGAGGAAAGGAGACAGAGAAGAAGGAGGAGAAAGGGGGAGAGAGAGGGAGGAAAGGAAAGAGGGAGGATAGGTGAGAAGAGGCAGAGGAGAGGGAAAAGAGGAGAGATGGAGGAGAGGAAGAAAAGGAGAGGGGGAGAGTGGGAAGAAAGGAAGGAGATGGAAGAGGAAGGGGGAGAGAGAAAAGAAGGAAAGGGGAAGAGTGGGGAAAGAATAGAGAGAAGCAGGTAGAGGGAGAGAAGGAAAGTAGAGACAGAAGAAGGAGGAAAAAGGACGGGAGAGAAGAGGAGGAGGAGAAGGGGAGAGAGAAGGAGGTGAGGAGGAGAGGGAAGGGAGAAGAAAGAAAGGAGAGAGAGAGAAAGAGAGGAGGAAAGGAGAGGGAGAGGAGATGGGAATGAAGAGAAGGAGAGGGGAAAAGAGGAGGGAGAAGAAAGGGGACGAGAAGAGAGAGACGAGAGAGGGAGAAAGAGGAGGAAATGAAAGAAAAGAGAGAGAGAAAAAGAAGGAGAAAGGAGAAGGAGAGAAGAGGAGGAGGAGAAGGGGAGAGAGATGGATGTGATGAGGAGGGGAGAGAGAGAGAGAGTAGAAACAAAGGAGAGAGAGTGGGGGAGGAGATGGGAAGGAAGAGAAGAAGGAGAGAGAGAAGAGAAAGGAAAGGAGAAGGGGGGAGAGGAGGGAGAAAGGGGAGGAAATGACGGAAAGGAGATAGAGAGGAAGGGGAGAGAGATGAAGGTGACAAGAAACAAAGGAGGGGGAGAGAGGAGGAAAGGAGGGGGAGAGGAGAGAGGAAGAAAGAGGAGGAAATGAAAGAAAGACGACAGAGAAGGAGGAGAAGGAGAGAGAGAGGGAGGTGAGGAGGACGAGGGGAAAGAAGAAGGAAGAGAGAAGTGGAAACAAGGGAGGGAGAGGAGATGGGAAGGAAGAGAAGAGGGAGAGAAAAGAGAAAGGAGTGGAGAGGGGGAGAGAGGAGGGAGAAAGGGGACGGGAAGAGAGAGGGAGAAAGAGGAGGAAATGAAAGAAAGGAGACAGAAAAGAAAAGAGGAGAAGGGGAGAGGGAGGGAGAAAGAGGAGGCAGAGGAGAGGGAAGGGAGAGAGAGAGAGAGAGAGAGGAGGAAAGGAGAAGGAGAGGAGATGGAAAGGAAGAGAAGAGAAAGGAGTGGAGAGGGGGAGAGAGGAGGGAGAAAGAGGAGGAAATAAAAGAAAAGAGAAAGAGAGAGGGAGGAGGAGGAGGGAGGAGGAGTTTGGCTCTAGTTGAACTCCGGCTCGTCCCACAGGAGCAGTGTCATTACAACATGCAACAGGCGACCGAGCAACACAAGCGCACTTTCAAATGACCAACAACAACACGGGAGACACTTAACACGGGTAAGAACGACTTTAACCAACTTTTTTATTTAAACCAATTTGATTTTAATGGAAAAATTCGAGTCTTTAAAGTCAAAATGTGTCGTTTTGTTGATGTGAAGTGTAAAGTTTGGTCCAGATCTTCAAATGTAATGTTATTTTTGTTTTGATAATTCTAGATTTTATATTATTGACAATTTGTAACTAGTTGTAATGTTAAAGAATGTTTTAATAGTTTGGACAAATTCATATCTCTAGCCAAAGCAACATCAGTACTATTAGTCTTCTTATTGAAAAGGTGAATTTGAAGTTTAAATTATACAACAGAGTGACTATAAGTTGCCTAAAGTAAGTTATGTAAGCTATAACATTCTCAATAATATGGTTACATTTTGCAAATGCATACAAACTTCATAATGAAAACTGTTCAAAAACACAGATATATTTAATTTTGTATTTATAAGCAGGGATAGAATCAAATGTTAAATGAACTAAAGTGTATTGATAATAAGAATTGCTTATTTTGAGACAGTTAATGCCATAACTCTGCAATTACTTACCATTATACATCATGATGTATTAAAAAATAAAGTTGTATACCATTGTAGGTGTAGTCTAATACTCAAATAATGATATCAGTAATATAGGTAAACACATACATTATTTTGTATTTACGTCACAGGGTTCAACCAAAGTAGGTCAATTTTTTCTGCGGTCTATACCAACCCATATTAGATTAGATTTAGATTTCTTTATTTTTAAAATCATAAATTATAAGGTAATAAGTAGTCCTAAATACAGCCTAATCTCCACGTACAGTAATTCTTTATATTATTTGCAGATTTTAGTGCTATTAAATTGTGCATATACTGTATACAATGGCCTTTAGCTGTGTTTACATACAAACATAGAGCTTTTATGTATTAACATTTTGAGTTTGTTTGAAAACTCGCCCACCCGCATCGTTTTAAATTGTGTTCGTCATTAAGAAAAAAAATAAAATAAACATAAATATTAATAGTCCACGCACTATTACAGTTTCATATGTATACTTCTTATTTTTATATAATTTCATAAAAAATAATTTGATTTCCTTATTATTATTATTTTTATTTTTTTTTTTTTGAGGTCACGTGATTCAGACTTGCGTAACAAAACGTGCACTTGTAGCGGTGACTAGCATAACAAAACAAAGCTAAGGTTTTAAGCTTTCGTTTTTATATTTATTTATACTTATTTGCGTTTGATGGCGTATGCATTATGTTTTTACTTTATTTTATAGTTTTTAATATATTATTATAGCCTGTTTAAGTAGTTAAGTTTATCATTTTAATATTAAATTGTCGAAATGAGTGGAGCATGCGAGAGGTAAGCGAACTGTATTTAATTATTTGATTTGTTTATTTAATTATTATTATTA